AAATTGTGTTTCACTATGTTTCTATGTTGACAAATGTTCGCTCCAGACGGGAAGGTCTTATGGCATCATTACGACGTTTAACAGTATTGTCAGAAAGCGGTATTTGTCCATACAGGCTGTTCCTAAAGTTTGTTTGCTCAGATCTTTTTTATTCTATCATAACCCTACATTTTTTTGCAGTTTCTAATAGTAAATGTAGTTTAGAAACACCCTGTAGACAGGGTGAATTATTAGTATCCCAGTGGTCGATAGTTACTAAACCGTTGAAAAACAAAAAAATATTTTATACAAAAGTTATTTGACTCATCACTTTCTATTACGTAAAATTATTTTCACATATACAGGATGTTCCATTTATGCGTAACGGAGAGTACGTAAATTTATTTAAATGGAACACTGTATATTTTATCATATTATACAGGGCGTCTTTTTAAATAAAAGCTTCAATATCTCGAAAACTATGCAGTTTAAAGCATTAAAACCTTATGGCATTATGCCCTGTATATACAACTAAATTTGTTTATACAACCGTATATGTTACTATTTCACAGCGTTTATCATTCCTGAGATATTCAATTGTTCTTCCAAAATGTGCCTATTACAGGATCTTTTTAAAAACGATGTAAAAACAACATTTTTTCCGATTTTGCCTTAAAACAACGTCAGACAATAATCAAAGCCAGTAAGTAGATGATAGTATTCAAAGATATTAGATATACTATACAGGGTGTTTATAAAGCTTAGTTACTTTTGATATTTTTCAAATAGCTTTTACTTAATTTTTTTAAATGAAACAGCCTGTATAAGTGAAAATAATTTTACGTAATGAGTCAAACAACTTTTTTTCTTTCCCAAACGGTTTAGCAACTATCGTCGCCAGGATACTAATAACTTACCCTGTATATACACTAATATAATAAATAATGTTATTATGACACGATTTACAGAAACGTCCTGTATACAAGAATTTCTAAGGAAATCAAATTATGTTTTACTATGTTTCTATGTTGACAAATGTTCGCTCCAGACGGGAAGGTCTTATGGCATCATTACGACGTTTAACAGTATTGTCAGAAAGCGGTATTTGTCCATACAGGCTGTTCCTAAAGTTTGTTTGCTCAGATCTTTTTTATTCTATCATAACCCTACATTTTTTTGCAGTTTCTAATAGTAAATGTAGTTTAGAAACACCCTGTAGACAGGGTGAATTATTAGTATCCCAGTGGTCGATAGTTACTAAACCGTTGAAAAACAAAAAAATATTTTATACAAAAGTTATTTGACTCATCACTTTCTATTACGTAAAATTATTTTCACATATACAGGATGTTCCATTTATGCGTAACGGAGAGTACGTAAATTTATTTAAATGGAACACTGTATATTTTATCATATTATACAGGGCGTCTTTTTAAATAAAAGCTTCAATATCTCGAAAACTATGCAGTTTAAAGCATTAAAACCTTATGGCATTATGCCCTGTATATACAACTAAATTTGTTTATACAACCGTATATGTTACTATTTCACAGCGTTTATCATTCCTGAGATATTCAATTGTTCTTCCAAAATGTGCCTATTACAGGATCTTTTTAAAAACGATGTAAAAACAACATTTTTTCCGATTTTGCCTTAAAACAACGTCAGACAATAATCAAAGCCAGTAAGTAGATGATAGTATTCAAAGATATTAGATATACTTTACAGGGTGTTTATAAAGCTTAGTTACTTTTGATGTTTTTCAAATAGCTTTTTATTAATTTTTTTAAATGAAACAGCCTGTATAAGTGAAAATAATTTTACGTAATAAAAAGTGATGAGTCAAACAACTTTTTTTTCTTTCCCAAACGGTTTAGCAACTATCGTCGCTAGGATACTAATAACTCACCTGTATATACACTAATACAGGGTGTCTCACGTAACTGGTTCGTTAGAACTTTTTTAGGTTCCAGTATTCGTACAGTTTTGAAATTTTGGTAGTATGGATTGTTCAGTTGGAACTTTCGATCTAAAATATTTTCAAGATGGCTGCCACTTCCGGTTTACCGGAAGTAGACCATAACTTCGTTATTTTAAATGGAATGCTATAGGTTTTATTGCACCTTTTAATTGTACGTAAAAAAATATGTTGACTTTCATAAAAGTTATTGGTACCTAGCGTTTTTCGTTTTCGAGTTATTTTGATTTTAAGGTTTTTTTGGCAAATTTCACCATGCACTTTAAAACCCTATATCCCAGCCAACGTTAATTCAAAAAAGCTCTAAATTGGCACGGTTACTCGTCAGATGCTCTCAAATAGATGTTGTATCAGAGTATCTTATACAGGGTGGTCAAAAATTGAATTACCGTTTCTCCATATTCAATGGGGAGAAAGTCGAAAATTTTAAATGGAACGCCCTATATTTTATTAGCCTACACCAAAGGGAATTTAATTCTCTACAATTTATCTATAAACATTCCTATACTTATTTATTGTAGTTTCTCTCATATTCGTAAATTTATCAAAACATGTAGAAAATGCAGGAAACCGTTTATATTTTTATTAGAAGGCCATAACATTTTGACAGTTTTTTGTTTAATTTATTTCTATTATTATTTGTACTATTAACTACGATTGATAATCTTTTAGTTTACTAGTTTATTCAAATAAATGAAACTATTAAAACAAAAAGTTAATGACAAAAATTAGATTTGAATAAAAATATAAATTTNATAATATTATGAATACAACTAAATTTTTTTATACAACCGTATATGTTACTATTTCACAGCGTTCATCATTCCTGAGATATTCAATTGTTCTTCCAAAATGTGCCTATTACAGGATCTTTTTGAAAACGATGTAAAAACAACATTTTTTCCGATTTTGCTTAAAACAACGTCAGACAATAATCAAAGCTAGTAAGTAGATGATAGTATTCAAAAATATTAGATATACTATACAGGCTGTTTATAAAGCTTAGTTACTTTTGATGTTTTTCAAATAGCCTTTTCTTAATTTTTTTAAATGAAACAGCGTGTACAAGTGAAAATAATTTTACGTAATAGAAAGTGATGAGTCAAACAACTTTTTTTTCTTTCCCAAACGGTTTAGCAACTATCGTCCGCTAGGATACTAATAACTCACCCTGTATATACACTAATACAGGGTGTTTCGGTGACATATACTAGAGTGAAAATGATAACGATTCATGTAAAAAAAATTAGTAAAAGTCCTCAAATTGTAAAGATACAGGCCATCAAACTTAGGAAATTTTAACACATTTATCTAAATATCTTAAACACTATTTATGGTAAAGCGTTGAAATTTGGTATAGTGTAAACTAATATCACGTAAAATCACTAGGCAATTTTTGAGATGGATCGGTACGCGGGAACAATGCTATACAGGCTGTTTCTAAAGTTTGTTTGATCAGAACTTTTTTATTCTATCAAAACCCTACATTTATTTTTGCAGTTTCTAATAGTAAATTTAGTTTAAAAACTTTTATCACTCTTAGAGAATATTGATAAAAACCACCGTTTTCGTATTAAATGCAAAAATGTTAAGTTCCGAATTCAATAACACTAAAAAAAAAAAATAAATAAATAATCTGAATTGGTAATGACAAGTGAAAATCGAACTGAGGTGTCATAACTAATATGTATGCAACATGTCCAAGTGTAGATTTAGCTAAATCATATTTTTAATTTGTTTTAGTTGGTTTAATAAAAGAATGCAAAAACAATAAATTAACAAAAAATAAACAAAAAAACGACAACACTAACAGGAATAATAAAAAAAGGACATAAAATTAAAAGACAAGTAATAAAAAATACTAAAGGAAATGTTTAAAAACTTAGATTTCTTTTTTTTTAGTGTTATTATTGAAATCGGAACCCAACATTTTTGCATTTAACACAAAAACGGTGATTTTTNGAACGTTGGCTGAGATATGGAGTTTTAAAGAGCATGTTGAAATTTCCCAAAAAAAGCTTAAAACCAAAATAACTCGAAAACGAAAAACGCTAAGTACTAAACACTTTTATCAAAGTCAACCTATTTTTTTACGTACAATTAAACTGTGTAATAAAAACTATAGCATTCCATTTAAAATAGCGAAGTTATGGTGTACTTCCGGTAGACCGGAAGTGGCGGCCATCTTGAAAATATTTTAGATCGAAAGTTCCGAATGAACAACCCATACTACCAAAATTTCAAAACTGTACGAATAGTGGAAGATGAAAACGTTCTAACGAACCAGTTACGTGAGACACCTGTATAATAAATAATGTTATTATGACACGATTTACAGAAACACCTGTATACAAGAATTTTTAAGGAAATCAAATGAAGTTGAGATAATATAATTTTTCATAAAATGTAATAGAGATTAACTTTATTATCGATAAGCTTTAAGTTCCTATAACAAATATAACCAAAATCCAGAAAAAATGAAATTGTTTAAACGAATTCAATTCAATCTATAGATCACTTCAAATTTGACAGATTAATTTGTTACACAATTCGGAATTAAACTAGTTCAATTCAACGACTTTATCAATTACATTATTTCCTTTTTATTAAAAAAAAGCTTATAAGATCATCATCGCGTTTACTGCGTCAATAATAAACCAGGAATTTATTGTTTTTATTTTTTCGCGTATTTTTCCCATTATTTATTATTTTTTTTATATTATTTTGTATCACAATTCAGTTTGATTCATATTTTTTCACCTTCAATTCAGTGTTATTCTTTTTAACGTTGTGGGTATTGCGGTTATTATTAATACGGGAATAATTAAACATAAAAAAAAATTATAATAAATAACAAGAGGAAAATAATAAGTAATTAAGTGTTAAAATTAAAATATGATTTATACCTTTGCAACTTAAATCGGATTTTTTTAAATTTAGACTTTAAAATTGTTCGGATTCTTTTTAATTAATAATAAATAAATTTGTACTTAGTTATTAAATTAATAATTAATTAATTAATTATTAACTAAATAGAACTTACTTCGATAACTTTAACGCGTCTTTATCACCCTTCATTCTTCACTTTTGATTCACTGTGTATTTATTTATGCAACAAAGACTCTTTTTAATTTTTTTTTACACTTAATCGCACTTAATTCAACTAAATTACTGGATATTAAAGTGATACTTGGTGATATGAGCAATGTGGACAAGCCGCGGGTGCTTAGTGGAGGCTCCATTCGAAAATGCGCGAATATGTACTGGAACGGGACGGTCACGTGACCACGTGTACAACCGATTTACGTTTTTAATACCTGTATATCTCTTTTACACTCTCATCGTACATTTGAGCCCCCACTATTTGTTTAATAAATTCGTATGAATGAAGTTTTTTTTTAATTATAAAAAAATAAATCAACCTTATTTATAGTTTTTTGGTATATTTGCTCATTTAACCGTGTGTTTGTAAACCGATTATGTTATTAAGTCGGTGTAATGCACTCTTTATTGTTAACTTAGAGCACAATTCGTTTTAGTTCGATTAAAACTTTTATTACTTGTTGTGTATTTTAGGAAACAATTGTCATATTGGAGATGTTTTAAATCTTTTAATCCCATGAAATTAACTAAATTATTATGTTGTTTATGGGATAAATGAAAAATGTCACGATATCGTTATGTAGTTAGTTATTCATAAACAGGAAGCGAACAACAATTACCCATACATAGCTTCATGTTTTTTAAATTAAACCTATAAGCTAATCCACCGTTTATGTAATACACCCAATTAAGAATATAAAAAAAGTAAATAAAAAAAAAATATAATAAGAACTCACCTATCGATGTTCTTGTAGGAGAATCATTTTGGTTTTCGATCTAAATGGGACAAAAAGAAAAATATGATAAAATTTTGCATTAATTTAGTGTAACAATTCATGATATGAAGTGCGAATTAGATGGTACATAAAAAAAAGTTCAAATTAGATTCGTCGTATAGGTAAAACGAGTTTTCTTCGAGACCAGTCAACTGTGTACAGTTACTACAGTCATGTGATGGCCTCAGGCGGCAAAATCGACCAAACCAAAACATCTCAAGTCCCCTACTTCTCCCCACAACCCACCATAGAGTATCCCTCATCATCTATTTGGACTCCTAAACAACGTTGAGAAATTTTATTTACATTTTTTAATCATAAACACCCACCGAGTAAAATCACTCATTATCGTTAAATTTAACAAATTTGGGGAAAAAACATCAATGACCTCAATATTTAAATTTTTATGATTAATAATAAAATTTTAAGTAATTAATCCGTATGCAATTACGTTTTATTTGATTTCGTAATACACTTTAGACGTAATTAATATGTATCATATTTGCATTCTATGGAATTGTATGGTTACATTTTTAGATTTAGAAATTGTAAAGGTCTTTGATGGTTTTTCCCCAAACCACACTTTCTTATAATTATTCAAATCGTATCAAAAAAAAAAAATTTTTATAAATATAAATAGTGATTTATATTTCTGGAAATACATGGTTATTTTGTTTGGGGTTTTGGAGCAATAAAGATTATCTGTTAAAATTGGAGTCACGGGACGCGATGAGTGTAAAACCGCGGTAATTAAAAGGTAAAATGAACATAAAAATTGTGGAAAGGAAAAAAAATGGGAGGCACGTGATTTTTTTATTGTACCGGACATAAACGTACTGAGATAATAATTCTCGCTTTACATCTTACTTAAATAATTTATCAACGCTAATTTTTTTTTAATTTAATGTATCTAAAATTATCAAATCCGACGTTTAATTTGACAGGTCGATTAATGATCAATTAATTAATGATAAAATAAATTTAATAAACATTTTCTTCAATATATTTTTGAAACTAAAGAT